ATTTAGATCATTATGATATTTGTTAGACACCTAAGCCAGGCAAAATGCTAAAACTTCATATGCATACTTACTTCTCCTAAAACTGTGATACTTACTAACCCAGAAAATGGGATACAAAGAGCTATAGTCCAGGAAAATGCGTAAGTAATTTATCCAATATTGTAATTTTGAGTTGGTGTCCATCACTTTTAGAACATATGAGCTAGTAAACAGAATGCAATGTAATGCTTTGGATTGGTGATAACTATGTAGAAAAAATTTGCCCCTGGTTTAGTTATTAATGCTAAAAAAGTACTTCAGACTTTCATGTTTTTAATGAAACTGAGTCCTTATTGTATGCAAAATATAAATAAATGCCCACTAGCTAAATGAAAAGCATAATGGGCAGTGACATGGTTATTTTAATATCTATATTCTGTAGAGTTGAGAAAGCAAGTACTATACTATGTTGTGCTATATCAGCCTAATGCTTCTGTTAAAAATACTATACTTCCTTTTTCTCCTATAACTAGTCTCTGTAATAATGTTTGATATTTGGATGGTAGATATTTGCTTAAAATATAATGTAGCGCAAAGGTGTTTTGCCATTATAAACACTCCTAACAAATTCTTGCTCTACCAAGTACAGAGGAATCTAAGAGTCATCTCAACTGGGCTGTTTTATTTAATACTATTACAGTTATAAATGGAAAACCGTTATCTTTGGCTCCATATATAGATTGCTTGCGTATCCTCCAGAAGATTTTCTCCCATGTTTTGTGCTGTATTCATTTTCCGTTGCTTTTGTAGCAAATTAACACAAATGTAGTTGCTAAACACAATAAAGAAATTTATTGTGCTTCGATTTAGAAGCCAGAATCCAAAGGGATCCCATTAAGCTAGAATCGAGTTGAGTAGTAGAGAAGGGAAAGAGGCACAGAATGGGGAGGAAAAACTTAAGAAAATTTATTTTAGAAATGTTAATTTTAAGATCAGACAGCCAAAGTATTACAAATGGCTAGCATACAATTACAAATTTATCCAAGCTTAGGAAACAGACCTGAGCCAACAGCCAGAGTAATACAAGTTTGTTTATATAGCAGTGGTTCTTAAATTGGTGGGCCAGTTGCAAGTGTAATTGAAGCTACATACTATTTCCCCTGAAGAAAGAACATAACACAACTAGTAAGTCACATTTGAATGTAATTTTTGAGACAGTCCATTCCAAGAAGTGAGCAGGCATGAGATAAGAATTTGTAATCTGGGATTGGGGATATATATAGCTCAGTGGTACAGTGTCTGCCTGGTAAGCACAAGATCCCGAGTTTGATTTCCTGATTCAAAAAACAAATTTTTTTTTTTTACTGTAAAGAACAATGTTGCTCTGCAAAATGCTTTTTAGGTCCTGCAATTTATAGATTTGTCAAGATAATTTCTTATGAATTAATTGACTTAAGTGCTAGTTAAATTGAGTAATAGCATTCTTTCAAGTAAACTATCAAATTACTGCATTTGCAAGAGAACAAAAATACATTAATAATATGAAAATGAGGCAAATATAAAATCAGTTACAATTCTGCATGAGCCAGTATTATGCCTTGGTGCTTGGTAGCTTTTTCCAGTTACCAAATTGAATGGAAAGATGTTATACTTAATAATAAGCTGGTAACAGCAAAGAGAGAGAACAGAAAACAGAATTTTAGTTTATAAAGATCATAGACTTTTTTTAAAGCCTTATATTGATGAAATTGAACTTCAGGTAATTAGTATTGTATGAAAATGTCGTGTGTATTATACTAACACATATACGAATCTGGAGTTCTTTAATGTCTTCTGTTACATTCTGGACTCTGGGTATGTTGATAAAAAGTTGAAGAAAAGGGAAAGTTGGGAACTTTTGGTGGGACCAAGAAATGGGAAGGAGAATTATTAAAACTGTTCAGGTATTTTGTGTACTAAGAAATGTCATAATACATGAGTAGAGTCTGTATGTTCTCTAAAGATCCTAATTTAAACATTTTAATTATTTTAAACCTAATTTCCCCACCTTGCAATTGGCACATAAAAAGACATTTAGTACATTATCCAGACTGTCTTCCTTGGGCCTTTTGCTTTGCCTGCATTGGGTGGTATATAGTGGTGTTGACAATCACAGGGCAGGGAGGTTCTGCAAGGCAGGAAAGCAGATAAAAACGATGACTTTGTGCTGAGGACACAGCATTGAAAGCTGTTGGGGCTTGGAAGGTGTTTTTAATACTTATACCCTTTATTTGACTATTAGGAAATATTTTGCCTATGTGCAGCTCTGAAAATACAGGCATAATTAGACATTTATCATCCAAATACATTAAAGTATAATTTTAGAGTTTAGGCTCATATAATATATCAGTTTCAAAAGAAAATACATAGATCTTTAAAACTGAGGCAAAAATTTGTCTTTGTTTCTTTTGTCTTTTATTAAAATACCAGTTGAAAACTGTAGAAAATGAAGCTTATGGTTACTATTGAGAATTCTAGATAATTTAGAAAACTAGTCTTGCAGTTACAACCTTAGCAACAAGACCTTTTGGCCTTATCTTCAAAGTACACCTAAATTAATCTGTTCCACTGTTATCATCCTAATCCAGTCCAACATTATATCTCATCTGGGCTTGTCGGTTAATAGTTTCCATGTTTTTCTGTCCCCAAAATCATGTTGAAACTTGAGTTTCCGATGCTGTGTAGTATCAGGAAGTTTAGCCCTTTGGAAGGTATTTATCAGGCCGTAAAGATGAAGCCCTCAGGAACGGATTGATGCTGTGTAACAGGGCATGACAGGTGGAACTCATGCCTCTGTGCCTGGGATGATTTGTGTTTTTTCCTGACATCTCAGCGTTCAAGGCAATGACTGAGAAACAGAACTAGACTCTTACCAGACAAGGAACATGTCTATGCAGTGCGACTTCTTGGGCTGTAGAGTTATTGAAAATAAATTTCTGTTCTTTATAAATCACCCAGCGTGTGTTCTGTTACAGTAGCACTAAGTAGGTTCAGTTTAACCTGTTCCCACTGGTTTGAACCACCTGTGGTACCTGCTTTAACTAGGGGCTTGTATGACAGATGGTATGAATGAATCTAATCACTTTTATTTGTCTTTACACATAAAATTAGTAAAAATGAGACAGTCATATATGTACCCACTAGTGGTTCAAGTCCCCTGGCAGTGAGACATAAATTGTAACCCCTCCATGAAGGTGTTAATGCTCTACCAGGTGTGAAAGGGTGTATTTAAAATATTTCAGGTAGTTTGAACATTAACAGTTTTGGAACAATTTAGAGTTTAAAATACATTTTTTTTGAAAAACAAATGAAACCATGTCTTTTAAGAGCATTTTTGTGTCTTTCTAGAAAGTAGTCCAATATCAAAGGTGGCAGCAAATTTGCTATTTAGTGAGGGCCCACTTTCTGGCTCATAGGTGACATCATTTTCTTTCTCTGTCATTACAGAGTAGTAAGAATAAGGCAACTTTCTGGTGTCTCTCTTGTAAGGGCAGTAACCCCACAGGGGCTTCGCTCCAATGATTTAATCATTTGTCGGAGACTGTTCCTCCTAATGCCATCACCCAAGGGTAACGATTTTGTATTAGTTGCTTTCCTGTCACTGAAACAAAATGCCTGATACCTCCAACTGAGTGGTGGAGTATTTTGACTCACAGTTTCAGTGGGTTCAGTCTGTGGTTGACTGTCCTTGAGGCAAAAATTGTGTTGTAGAACACTAGGATAGAGGAATTGTGTTCACTCACTACCTCATGGCTGCAAGGTAGTGCTAACCCCCAGGGATGCTGCTCATCTGACCAGGCCCTACTTGGAAGCTTGAGACTTTTGGCAGCCATTTTAGATCTAAACAATAACAGATTTCAACATGCACACTTTAGGGGGACACAGATACTTGGGCAGTAGCAGCAGATATATATGTTTGCAAGAATTTATTGAGGTCTGTATATTTAAAGTTATTGCATGTTACTGTATATAAAGAGTACTTCAATAAAATATAGTATATGAACAAGGAAAGGCTTTCTTACAAGTATAGTGATGAGAAATCATGGCAAGCTGCCTAGAATATAACAGAGATACGAAGTATAGAACTGTTACATGGAACAGTTCAGTGGTATTCCTGATACTGGAAACAAGATTACATTCAGTCTGTTTTCTAAGAAGCCGGTAAGGCATGCTGTGCTGAGAAAGAATTTTATTTTTAATTATTAAAAGCTTCACAGTAAAAGACTTAATGTCAGTTATGTAGATATTCAGTGTGTTAAATGTATTTACCAGATGTCCTGTACAGAACCATTATTAATATTGGGAAATGATTCTGAAGTGGAACTAGAATGTAATCTCTGAAGAATAGAATCTGCCAAAAAGAAGTATGAAAAGCTCCTGTAGAAAGATTTGCTTGGTAAATAATTTAAACAGAACATTTGTGTATAATTTGTGTAAATGATTTAGATTCCTTATTGGTAAAAGAAAAAATATAGCATCTAAAACTAATCTTGTTTGAGCATTTTATTCACGATATATCCCAGGACTATTACAATTTAAGAGATCTCACAGTGAAATGTGCTGAAATATAGTAATGATTTATTTGCACTAGTTATAATGTCGGACTGAATGGACACACATAGACAAATTTGATGGGAGCCTATGTAGTTTGACAGTATTTGTCTCTGGAATCCTCCACAACCTGTACAATCAGATGTGCCTGAACTATTGAAATGATAAATTTATGGAAGAGTTCTCTGTTTTTTTTTTATTACAAAGTTAGTCTTTAAAATAAAGGCTAACCATTAAAATTATTTTGTGGTTTTTGACGAAAGAGGTCAACTCTTTCAACTAGTGGACTTCTTGTGAACTGACATTAAAGCAGTAAACATTTTAGCCACCACATGCTAACTCATGTGGTCATTTGTTGCTCAAATGAGACTGATGGCTTGGCTGATTTTGTTTATGGAAAAGCTAATTCCTGATCTTTGCATCTATTTTAGTAATAGTTATGCACGAGTCCGAGCTGTGGTGATGACCCGAGATGACTCAAGTGGTGGATGGTTACCACTTGGAGGGAGTGGACTGAGCAGCGTCACTGTCTTCAAAGTCCCTCATCAGGAAGAGAATGGCTGTGCTGACTTTTTTATCCGTGGAGAGCGGCTCAGGGACAAAATGGTAATGCATACTGTATCTGTTGTTGTAATTTTAGGATATTTTCTATAAAGTGAATTCATCATTTAAAGGTATGCTTAGTATATTTTTTATGAGAGTTGTTTTTGCTCATGACTCTACGATTATGTTGGTGGAACTCTTTGTGTCAAAGACAGTAAAATATGATAGTTTTTTCAAATGATGTGACGGTGTATATACTTACTGGGCAGAAATGCTCCATTTCTATTTCAGTTTAATGCCAGAACACTGGTGAACAGTCTCCCTGCGTTTTGAATGAATTACCCACACCATTTCCCAGACCAGGCTAAATTCAGGCCTGCTACAGGTTTTTCTTTAAATGTGGACTATGAGCTAACAGTGATTTTGTAAAAAATCATTTTGTGATATATAAACATTACATGAAGTTCAAATTTTGGTGTCCATAAATAAAGGGTATTTTTGTTTTTAAAAACCAAGGTATTTCTTTATGTCTGTCTTTGACTACTTTCATATGATAGTGGCAAGGCTGAATGGTTTCAATAGAGACTGTACTTACCTGGCTGCTGCCCGTCTACCCTAGGCTCTTGATCTTAGGTTCTGTATGTAGGCTCACATGGCTATTTGGGATCCTGTCTGTCTGTCTGTCTGTATTTCCGTCTTTTCTTCTCCTTCCCCTTCCCCCATCTGTCTGCCTGCCTGCCTTTCCACCCCTGTTTACTTTTTCCGTTTTGAAACAGAATTTCACTGTTAGTCAAGTTACCTCATCATCATGCCTGTGCCTTCACATATCCTGGATTTTAGGTGTGGACTGCTGCCCAACCTAAATTTTGATGATATTGCCTTCTATCTAGATAAATATTTTCTTACTTAGATACATTTTTAAATTTCATGGTAGCATTTGATGTGTTAGTTACTTGCTATCTTTTAATTAAAGTGCCAAAATTTTTAAGACCTTTGAAAATAACTGGAATCCTCCTAAAATATGTATTTGTTGGTGGTTTATGAGTCAATTTAGCTTCTACATTATTTCTATTGGAAATACATTTTAACATCTAAATAATCCTTTCATATATGAACAGATTGCATATAGCTTTTTGGGCTTTGTTTTTGTTTTTTTACTACATTTTAGTAACTCAGAAAGTTACTAAATTGTCTTTGCCCTAATTTATTCCTTAGTTAATGGGAGAGTTATATCATCTTCAAAGATATCCAGCTCCTGGGCTGGGGATTTAGCTCAGCGGCATAAGCACCTGCCTTGCAAGCAGGCGGTCGTGAGTTCGATCCCCGGTACCGATAAAAAAAAAAAAAAAAAAAAAAAAAAACCAAAACAAAACAAAAAAACAAAGATATCCAGCTCCTGTGTTTGCGAGTTTATAATTTACTTTGATACTTCACATTGTATGGTATATCTCAGTTGACCAGAGATTTTATTATTTTAAGAAACCCATATTGAAGTCAGAGGGTAATACAATAATAAATATAACATGTCATTGTAAAGAGTTTAAGTATTTAAAAATGGTTTTGGTCTTAAAGTGGTGTTTGTCATTTGCAAATACTTTTATAAGCTCATAGACATCTAAGAAAAATCTTAATATGGTGACCTGTCCTAAAGTATAATGTTTCTTATCTAAGCTAATAATTACTGAGAATGTTGGAAAAGAAACTGTAGATTTCAGAAACTGAGAAACATAGTGAAGATCTAAAGTAGTTTTTGTGAAAATGTATTATTAAAAAAAGGAAAAGAAAAGTCCAGCAGTGGAGCAAAAGTTGGAGAAAAGAACTTGTTAGAAAATGCGTAATGACAAGGAAAAAATACCTTGATGTAAAATAGAGCAATAAACTAGTAAAATAGAATATTCGGTGTATTAATAGAGATGGCAGTTCTGGACCAGATCTTTATAGCTTGGAGTGAGATTGGTCAGAGCTGGCTCTGACTGGTGGATTCTGTGAGTGTTCAGAGTATGGCTTTAAAGCTAATGGAATTAACCTGGGATTCAGAAAGAACACAAACTTACTCTTTATAACAGAGAACTTTAAAAAAAAAAAAAAAAGAAGTAAAAAAGCAGTTAGCCTATTCTTAAAGTATAGAATCATGAAAGATTAATTAAAAATAAGATTCTTCTGCTTGAAGTACTGTACTGACCAAGAATTACAGTACCTGTTGTTTCATCTAACCATTTATCCTGAGCAGATTTACAAAAAACAGAATAATAAACATTTCAGTAGAGACATAACAGAAAAGTTGTTTTTGGTTGGAGAGTTGCCATGCTTCTTACAGGGCTTAATGATAAAGCTTTCCCTAGTAAAGCAATCCCGTAATTTACATGATCAAAGGTATAGGCAATGACTCATAACTATAAATTGAAAATAGTAAAGTGTTAGAGTCCCATGACAAATGAGACAGTGACATTGAAATAAGCAGACAATTGGCCTGCTCTGTTGGTAGTATGGTTTACTTAAGACTCTTTCTGTAGAGTTCAGCAATAAAATTGAAGTCTACATGCATGCATTTTAGAGTCATTAATAGCCTTTTCCATAGGTATTTTTAGTGGTCAGTTTGGTTCTCTTTATTTTTCTGTTTTCTAATTACTTGAATTGTTTTTTGTAAACTACTTTGTGACTACAAAGTTCTTCCTAAATTAATGATAGCATTCTTTTTAAAGCTGTATCAGCAAATAAACAGCTCATTTCAATAGTTTTCCTATGTAATAATTATGTAAAAAAACAGCTACTAAATCTGTTTTGTGCCATTTTCCTTGAGCCCACATCTTAGAATCTCTGCCTGAGATGAATTATAGAAATAAAGCTCTTGCCTCTCATACCTCTATTAAACTTGTGCCTTTAAGAAAAAATAAATAGTAACAAAAGGTATATATGGCCGCTTGTTTAATAAAGTCATTTTAGATAACATTTAAAAAGTGTTTTTAGTTTGGAATACTGGTAACCATGGTGAAACAGATGGCTTTTCTCAGTGATGAGGGAAGCAGTATTTTGACAGATTTGTCTGCTTTTGATTTCCAATAACTTGTACTAAAAATAAGTCTCCTTAGATTACTCAAAGGATTATTCAGTCAGTTGTCCATATTTGCTGGTTATGCAACTACAAATTCAACGACTGGATTGAAAATATTTGGGAGAAGATTGTGCTCCTACTGAACATGTACACACTTGTCTTCCTTGTCATTATTCTGTAAGCAATCTAGTGTAACAACTATTCATATAGCATTTACATTGTTTTATATATTACTAAAGAGCAGGCTGCCTGGGACATCTTAAGGCAGTATCATTTTGTATAACTAGATTGACATTCATGCATTCATTTGTCCTCTCAGTCTTAAATGATCAGAAATAATTATTTCTTGTGGTGATCTGTACAGAAAGTCCCCAACTTATAAATAAGTTTGCCTTGGTTACTTTTCTTTCATTGTAGGGACAAAGTACCAGTTGCTCAAAATTAGGGAAGGAAAAGTTTATTTAGCTTACAGTTTTTTAGAGGTTTTAGTTCATACTCAGCTGCTTCCAAGGCAGGGTGGCGTGGCTAAGGGGCAGCTGTTCATGGTGGCTGCATTCAACAAGACCAAAAGGCAAAAAGGAAAAGTATGCCTCCTTTGCTCCCTTATATGATAGGCCGGCTCCCCGCCTCTGGGTGGGTACAGCACTCACACCACCAATCCCAGTGCTGAACAAAGAACCAGTCACAAACTAGATTCCGTCACCTTCAGGATTGCATGAGGCTTTGGGGGAACATTTAAACACAACCAAAACAAAGTTCCATTGCAAGAGTCCTTTGTAAGTTCAACAAAATGAGTTTTGTACACCTTTGTAACAAATGTAAAGCATAAAAAGATCAAACACAAGGTTGGTTCAGATCTGTGAGCTCAAATATCCATAAACTCCTCTTTATGAGGCTTTCAAGGGGAGAGTTTATTTCCTTTTGGTTCTCTAAATTAGAGCTTCTTAACTTGTTTGACATCTCATAGGGTAAAAGTAGGGAGAGCCTCCAGATTGTCTAATAAATTGCCTTTCTGTTTTTCCTTCCCTGTGTAAGCCTGTGGAGGAAAGGGTTGGAAAACACTTCATAATTGGCTTTTATGCTTTTTTGATGATTGAGAAAGAATTTTAAAGAAACACCAGGCTTGATTGTTGTAACCTAAGAAAGTAAAAAATGCTCTCTTCCTCACAAATGCATGGTGATGACTGGTTCTTGTCTAGGAGAGATTCTCAGAACCTTTTTCCCCTGATAGGTAGAGAGATAGATAGTTCTAGATAGGTGATAGAAGTTACTTCCTATTTTCTTCTAAATTTATATAGCCTTGATTTCTTTCTCTAATTTTTTAGTACAAGTTATCTGGGATCATTTATTTTGTAAAATGCTAGCTAAAATTTAACTTCATTTGTTTAAGTGATCTTCACAGAAGTCCACATTCCTCATGATAGAAACTTGATGTTTTGTATTTAGTTTTCACTAGCTCTTTGCAAGCACAACCCTTTCATCTTATCAATATTTTATCAAAAAGCTAAATAGATTTTAATTACCACAGGGTCTAAAATAGGTATTCTTCGTAGAGGAGCTGAAACACTGTAAATTTACTAATGTAAAGTAATGCTTTTTAAAGCATATTATGTGACACAAGGTGAAGTGGGCCAAGTGGAAAGATGCAGTAGGACTTTTCAAACAGTTGAACTACTTATGATGCTCTGTGAGAACCAGAATAAGCCAGGTTGTAAAATAGGTACTAATATAAACTCACACTAATAAGATTAATTTTAAAACAGAAAAAGGAAAAGCAAGAAACATTTTCAGTCTTATTATTTATAAAATTAAAGTGCCTTTAAAATAAAAATCGGTTTTAAAAAAAAGCACTTTTAAAAATGCAGTTTTCTTATAAGTTACTGGAGCCTAAAATGAATTTAGAACATCATTTTCTAGAAAGAAAATAAAGTAGATGCACTGATAACTATACTGAAAATTAGACTTTGTCACCTTTCTGCCATGTGGAAATCTTAAAATAGCAGAGAAACCC